CGGACGAACTCTCCTTTCCAGCACCCTGGCATAGACTTTCCCAGGGAGGCTGGGTAAAACTCTTTATAGCACATAATCTGTATTATTAAGGGTGTTTAACAACATCCTTATTGCATGTGACTGGTAAACTTGTTGTTCTGGTTTTGTTTGACTTAACTGCTGCCTCTGACACAATAGACCACAACATTTTTAATATCTTTGCTACATCATTGCATTGCACTTTGCTTAAATGGTTTAGGTCTTATCTGGCAGATAGATCTTTGTCTGTAAACCTTTGCAGTTCTGAAGCATCTAATGCTTATGTCATGTGGCACTCCACAGGGCTCAATTTTCAAATTCAAATTTTATTTTTCATACACAATCATACACAGTACAAAATGCAGTGAAATGCTTATTGCTGTGCAATTCTCAACCATTAAAAATACAAGAACACACTGAAATTAAAAATTAAAATAAAAAGGTGTGCAAATCAGCCGTGTGCAGATTGACAGTCTTGGATCAAACAGTCAAAACTGACGATTATTGTTGTTGTTAATTGCATGTACAGTGATGTGTAGAGATTGCAGTCCTACACCTGGTTCAGGGCCTGAATAGCCTGGGGGAAGAAGCTCCTCCTCATTCTCCCTGTTTTGGCCTTAAAGGAGCAGAAGCACTTCCCTGACCTCAACAGTGAGAAGAGTCCATTGTGGGGATGGAAGAGGTCCTTCATAATCTTCCTGGTTGTGGTACTGCACCACTTGGTGTAAACAGACTGCAGGTCAGGAAGCTCTGAGGGAATGATGTGTTCGGCAGAGCAAAGCACTCTTTGGAGAGCTCGTCCTGCTTGGTGCTTTACCCATACCAGGTGCAGGTATTTCCCGTCAGGATGGTGTAGGAGTAGAAGTTCTTGAGCACCTTCAGAGGCAGATGGAAGTCTTTAAGTCTTTTGAGGAAGAAGAGACACTGCCGAGATTTAGGCCAGTGCTGTAGGCCAGTGTTGTTGCTAAGGATTGTCTCATTGCACTGAAGTCACACTGGGTAAAATATTTACACTTGGGTTTTAAGGAGTATTTGTTTTTTTTTACGGGTTGTACGGAAGCCCCAAACGCAATTTCATTGTTCTTTGACAATGACAATAAATAAATACTTGACTACTACTACTACTACTCTCGATTTACTGCCTCTGGGTTCCTCTAGGGCCCACAGAGGCAAAAGCTCTGTCTGCCTTAGTTCTAAGCCTCGTATGCTGTATAATAAGTAGGCCCTGATCACATGACCTCAGGGACCTGCTAGGGACATAGGGCTGTAGAAGTTCAATAATGTAAACTGCTGCTTGTCCATGGAGAGCTCTAAAAGTCAGAATCAGAATCTTAAAGTGGAATGTGAATTCAATGGGGAGCCAATGCCAAGATGGTGTCACATGTGAGTACTGGAAGATTTGGTCAGAAGCCTTGCTGCAGCGTTTTGAA